GGCCGGCTGCCATTGGTAACCTTTCACGAAGGTATAAATCACTGTGACAGACTGAGTGGCAAACATTTGGCTCTTCTCCTGAGCCAGGTGGCAGGGATCTGAGCAAGGATGGCGCTCGATTATTTGCATGCTGTAACCTGCAGGCTGCTTTCAGGGTGCTGTCGCTTAGAGTTGGGCCAGGGAGCTCAGTTTCAGTGAAATCGTAACTGCATTGAGTGTTTTTTGGGAAGACTGGGGCCCTTGATTTGGAAATGAATCTAGGACCACCAGGAAAACCAGCACGAGCAGTGCGCCATTCTTGAACAACGTAATTTTGCACTGAAGTTTCTGCTGGAGAATGGAAGTTGTTCCTTTCAGACAACAGCACCAGGGAGATGTCTGAACTCTTTCGTGGCAGACAGACAGTGAAGCAAACACACCTGAGCGAAAAATGCACTGTTCACTGGGAAACCAAGCAGTCCCAGCCAATGCTAGCACAGGGCCCAGGGTACTGACACAAAATTCAGACCTTCTGGCTGTGACATCAAAAAACAGAACAAAAAACCCACTCTAAGCGCCCGAGGGGAAGGCTCACTGCCTGATCCCTAAGGAAACAAAAATTATTCCATTACAAAAGACGGGTTACTTTGCCTCTATTTTGCATTAACTATGCAGCTGCATCAGGTAGACTTCCAGTTCAAATGACTAATTGTTCGTTACTGGGGAGCTTCAACCATACAGCTTGTGAAGTTGTGAACTGTCTGGGGACAAGGATCCTCTTCCACTTGTGACTGTGTATCAAGTATCCCAGCAGCATTCCCACCTACCAGTAGACAGCCTACAGGTTACTGTATTACAGACAAGTAATAATTATGACAATTAAAGATCATGAAATCACTTAAATGAGGCGTGTTTTGTCATTCAAAATTAGCAGATGTTTAAATACTATGCAATGGAAAAGCTACTTTTCAGGAGAGACCTGGTCTAGAAGTGACAAGCTTTTTCTATAGTGTTTCGTAAAATATGTCTAGCATGGAATTTCTTTTAAAATAAAACAATAAATAGAAGAGTGAAAGGCCTCAGCCTAGGCGAAGCCTTTTTTAGCTTACTGTTGTTCAGATTTGAGCCCAGGTGAGTTTGAAGTGTGTGGTGGGACTCTTGTGGAGTGTGCCACTGCTATAACACACCACATAGCATGAGGATTCCCAGATTTGCTTGCCTAGGCTCTCATAGTCTTCAGGGTGTGGGGGACACTTTCATGTTTATCTGGTTGCTGCTGTATTAGGGCAAAAGACCTTAATGAGATAGGGGAAAAAAAGAGTGACTCACTTTGTGCGGGCTATGAGATTTAGCGTTTGTCTTGACACTTGAAGATACAAATAAATGCATAAATATTTCTGTTGCAATGTAAATGAAAATGAGATAATCTATCCTGCTGATTTAATTCCATTCACAGACCACTGATTACTCAATGATGCATGAAAATATCAACTCTGATGATTTCATAAACTGTAAAATACCCAGATCATCCTTGCAATATGAGGTTAGTATATGCAACATGTCTATATCTTATCGTTAAAAAAAAAAAAAAGTATATTTTATTTGGAATTTCTTAATAGCTTGAGCAAACAGCACACCCACACATATCTGTATCCCCCTTGAGATGATGGGGAGGACTACTTGTCTGCTTATGCTGTGCTTCATTCACTGGTTGTAGATGGCTTGTGTAGCGATGTGGAAATAGATTGACATAGTTTAAAATGGGGAGGCTCCTCATTTACTTATTTCCTACCTTTTTTGCCCCTTTTACCCTTTAATTTTCCTTGACTTAAAGTTTATTCCTAAATTCTCTCCTCATTACTCCTTTGTTTGATGTCAAATTAGATAATTTCTGCTGAATCACCCATCCTTTTCCAAGCAGCTTTCTGTTCTTCACTGTTGGTCACTACTTGGTTTTGGTTCATTGGGGTTAGCAGGTTATTGTGTGTGTGTGATTGGGATTGCTGTTTAAAGAGATGGGATAATGCAGATAAAAGGCTTCAGTCTTTGGCACAACTTCGGCTTAGGATTCTCAAATAAAACACCTGCTGTTGGCAATGCTCAGCACCGTGTTGTGCTGGGTTGATGCAGCCAAAGGTACTTGTTCTTGGGGCCACTGACAGCTCAGTGCAGCTGTACAGATTTTAACTGAAACAGCAGGTGCTGAAATAAAAGCTAAGCACGATGACTCTCGCATGACAGCAGCACTGAGTGAAATTTTGGAATGCTCCAATAAAGTACAAACGAGCAAGAATGACACCATCAACACTGTAAAAGATGCGTCTGTTGCCACCAACATTTTCTTCTATGTGTTATGTACATGTTAGTGTAGGGAGCCAGCAAATTCATGACTCACATAAAGTTGTATTTACAGTATAATTCTACAAGGGAGGAGAAATAGACAGGTGGCAAGATATAGATGTATGAGCAAGGTGATGCAGTGGAATTATGCGCTAGCTTCCCACTTGTGTGGAGCCCTACCTATCTATCTATCTGTATCTAAAAGCTGGTATGGAAAATCGCGGAATGATCTCATCACTGATACTCAATCAAAAAGTCACCACAAAGTTAGGGATGATGGATGGCCGCTGCCCAAGTCTGTAAATGGAATGGCATGGTTGCAATGCTGTGATTGTACTCCGTTACTGGCATGCTCTTGGAAAACTAGTGTGGAGTCCACCCATTGCCTCCCATCCACTGTTGACAGTTCGGAGAAGCAGCAAGATCATGGGGCTTGAGAAGCCCCTGGTGTCCTAAGTATCCAGCTGGGATGTATACAAATGTGGGTTTGGGCCTGTGCATGTCCATGTTTTTGTACCAACTGATGGTCTCACAGAATGCTGTAAGCCATATTAAACATGTTGGTTGTACTTGCTCCCATCTTGAGACTTCAGGTACTATGCAGCTATAAGCATTGCACAAGCAATGAGATAAAAAAAGTGAAAAATATCTTGGTGAAAAGAGATTAAACAATTTTTCATTATTTCAAACATTTTTTTCATTCAGAAAAATATTCCAGGGTAAGTGACAAGTTTAAAATTCAAGCCTCTCCCCAGGAAAGTTTTGAGTGTGAGACCTGTGTTGTAACAGCTCTAGTTTTCTGTAAGCGTGCATGGTTTCTTCTACAGTTTGAGAACTTTGAGAATTTGAGAAAGGATATAACTTTGTGTAATCCTTCATCATTTGTGATTAGACCTGGAGTGATGTAGATCTTGACCCTGTAGAGCCAGCTCATAAGAAACTGCAGCCTCGCCGAAGTCATTCTTTCTCAACAAGTGTGAAACAAGAGAAGAGAGACCTGCTCCCAAAGACTTGCAGCTATGATGCAGCAACTGCAGAAAAGGTAAGGAAAAAGTCACTGCTGGGAGCTCTCCATTTTATTGTTAATCTTGCTACAGTATGTCATCTCTGGAATAATAATTCAGCCTTTATACTGATCTCTTTCATCTGTAGGCTTTATTTATACTGATTCCAATGTCCTCTTCAGCCTTGCTGTTCTTTCTTTTTTTTTTTGTGACTAATTAGAATGTCAATAATGCCTTACAAACTTTTTTTACTGATTTGTTGCCTGTTTTTGGAAAGCCAGCATCAGCCCATGGCTCTAAAGCTGCATTAAAGCAGTCAGTAGCATCAAATGTAAGAAGTTGACTTGTTTGCATGTTTGTCTACCCCAGCTCCGGTTCCTCCCATCCTGACCCTCGTGTCTACATTGTGGCAGCCTCCTTTTATTAAAAAGTCAGGACTGCAAAATGGAGTTCGACGTGATAGAAGCCACCCTTTTTTATCTTTTCAGTGTATATTAAAATGTTTTATTTTTGTTGAGGGGGAAGACGAGAAAGAAACTCCTATTTCTCCCTAAGTGTGGGAGAATCTGGCAGCTGCCACCCTTCCCCCACTGAAAGAGGAGATGGTGAGTACTCAGCGCATCTTCTGTGGATGCATCACAGTCCTTGCCCAAACCCCTGAGGTTTGGTGTCATGTGGCTGAAGAGCGCTCAGTTCCCTGAGGAACTGCTGAGGGTGGGAGCAGTAGGTGACCCATGAGCCAGCTTCTGCCAGATCCGCATCAGCAGTTTCAAAACAAATATTTGTACGAGTGGCACTATGTCAAGCATTTATTGGTGTTGCATTTTCAAGAAAAGAAAGGACTTGCTCACCCCCCTGCCTGTGGCTGGACTGAGTAGTACCCACTTTTTGATGGAGGCACCTTTTCATGGGGTTACTCTAGTGTGTGTAACCAAACACGCACACCTTGGGCAGCTACAGCATCTGCTTCTGTCCCCTGTGCTCCCTTCCAGCTCTGAGGCTAATTGTCTAGAGACATCACAGTTTAAAGCAGGAGCTGTTCTGGAAATTTCCAGCCATCCGATGACCTGGCTCCTGCATGCATCTGCCCTGTCTTCTTTCATGTGTGTCTTCTTAAGATGAAGTCCTAAGCAACGTTGATCTTTTCCTATAACTGCTGTGAATAATATTGAGGGAAAAATAATGGCTTCAAACATAGTGTCAGGCAACATGGGCTCAAATGTACTACCCACCTCTGCTGCCCTCCATCAGTAGCCCAGTGTGTTCAAAGTTGTAGGTGAGTGGAAAAGGCAACAGATTGTCTCCAGGTGCTGGAGAACCACCGGCTTTTGATCTCACAAGGAAGTAGAAGGAAAATAAATCTTAGGTAGTTGCATAAAAGTGTTCAGCAATACAATAAATATTTCTGAATTCTGCAATTTAGTAACTCTGTAGCCCCAAAAAAAGCTCAGACACTATACTTCATCTTTGAAAGATGTCTGTTGGATTATTTTTGTAAACGACCTTTAAACAGAGTACCTTCATGTGGAGACTTTCAGTGGTGTTCACTGAGATGTGTGGAGTTTATTTACATTGAGTATTCAAAGCCTTATTTGCTTTTCTCAATGTTTTGAGCAAAGATTCCTGTGTGATGTGAAGCTCCTTCATGTGTTAGCTAAACGCATGAATATTCATTCTATCAGAATAAATATTTATTTGTCAAGCTCAATTAGAGTGCTTCACTATAAGGCCACCCATTTATCCTTAAAAAAAAACCCAACCAATGCTAAAGAAACCCCACTGCATTTTTAGATATTTATAATAAGGTTTTAATAACATTACTGGATTGTGTATGACTGCATTCCAGTTACGGCACTTTCAAAAATGCTCGTTTATGGAAATGCAAGTGTGAATTTGGTGAAGGATCATGTAATTTTTTGATTTAACAAAATATTTTTTTTTAGGAAAAGAATCTTACACTTCTTTTGCTTTCTTTAAGACGACAATCTCAACAACATCTGAAAAATTTATGTACCTCTAAATTCTTTTCACTGGCTGAGAACAGGTCTGCTTAATGCACAGTTGCAGATGGGTTGTCAAAAAAGAAAAATCATCCCTCTAGTGAAAGTAAAAAAGCCAATCAGTGTCCTGGGCTCGGTGCTTTCCAGAGCGTAGAAACACACAGGAGTTTTCTGTGCTGCGATGAAGTGATGATCTAGCCCCACGACTTATTGCAGCTAGTTAGAATGGTAATAGACTTGGTGTAGACTGACACCTGGAAACCTGCTGTGGCAGTGAAGAGGTCTTTTTGGAAGCTTTAAAATGTAGGCACATATTATGAGAATAAGATAGGTTTCAAAGGACAGTTGCCAAGTGGGCTCTGTGCATCCAGGTTTTGTCAAGGGAATTACCCGGCATGAAAACTACAAAAGAAACCCAACTTGGAAGTGGTGTCCTACCCTCTAAGCCATATCCAAAAGAAACTTGTTCTTCCGCTGTGCTAAAAACAGCACTTGAAGCGGGGAGAAGTGGTTTTAGGTTTTGGGGTTTTTTTGTTTTATTTTTGTCGTTGTCTTGGAAGAACACACTTTTCTTCTCTGTCAGGTTGATTTAAACCACTTTTTTTTTTTTTTTAGCACGTTGTGCTTCCCTCCACTTGAGTAGGTACAGCAGCTGGAGAAATCACTATCAATAGGGGTTGGTAAATAATTCCTCTTTATGGAGTAGAATTACACAACGCTTCAATATATTCTACTATCTAATTTTAAACCCAGACTGACAGAGAGGGGAATAGGAGGAGAGAGAGAGACTAAAAATTCAGATTTTTAATTAAAAAAAAAATGCGAGAAATAAACATTTGGGGTTGTTTTTCTGTAAAATTCGACTAGACCTGCAATATGCAATAACATCTTCTGCCAAGCTACTTGCTAAGACTGAGATGACCCCTAAATCTTAAAAAAAAAAAAAACAAAACATAAAAAAATAAAAATATCTTCCCTATTTGAGTTAAGGAACCATTTAATTTGTTAGGCAATATCACAGGCTACAGACAAGGTAGAGACAAAGGGAGACAAGATTTCAGCCCCTGCTGGGTTGTAATCGTGCTAGAATCTGGTCTAATGTTTTTAAAAGATATTTCAGCACCAAACCCCTATAAATCCATGGGAATTATACCTGAATGCTTGAAGAAGACTAAAGTTGAATTAATGAGGTTAATGACTAGAACAGGAATATCTGCAATAGAGGAAAAATTTTACAACGCTACTACGGGAAACTCAAGCTATGGAGAGACTCAGTGTAACTAATTCATACACTTTACAACCGTATTAAGAGAAATATATAGAACTATAACTCAGAAAGATGTGTTATAGCAATAAAGCTTAGTCGTACCCTGAGCTCCATTAGGTTTCATGGGAATACACATAATAATGAAGTAAAAACTGTATTTTACTTTAATTGTGGGTTTTTTTCCCCCCAGGAAGGAGAGACTTCTAACTTCTCTCTATATCTGGCACAGTGATTTTATAACCTTAACTGTCATTTTCTAAAGCAAGCTGAAATTGATTGCTCGTGCCTTCCATTGCAGCTGTATTTAAATATTAACTAACACTTTCAAAGCTTTTACTTCATTTACTCTGGTTATGGAAAGGTCACAGGGGAGTTGCCATCAGGGTCAAGTTAGAAATCAGATTTCACTCAAAATAGGCAGATGGGAAATGGTTAACAAAGCAAAAGCACAGCCACTGTTTTTACCTTCTTTCTTGGTGGAAGTACTGTCCAAACTATGAAAGCAAAGCCGCCCACTACCCTGAGGCAGTATCAGGAGCCATTTAGAGACACCATGATAGAGATTGTCACAAGGATGATGAAACTTTAGGCAAAGAAAGAATACAGTGTGCTGGAGTCTTATCTGAGATCTTTTCCATGAGAGAGAGAGAAGTACAATTATCCAGTACCTTGAGATATGTTAAAAGTGGAGGTTTGTGGGTTTTTTTAAACATAAAATAAGTCAGATACAGGAATGAGTTTTTCTTTGCTGCTTTTTTCCTTTTGGTGTCTGCTGATATTTGAGCATGTCTTCTTTCGCTTCATCTAACATCCTGCTTTCCAAACTGTAGATGTTAACACATCCTGGTTTTCCCTCTTTCTAGTCAGTGATTCAACTGTTTAGAAAATATGACTGGTGACTCAAAGAGTGACTTGTGGTAGTGAATATTTCAAATACTGGTTTCCATAGTCCTATGCTGTATGACACTAAAGCTTATGTCTCTGCTCCAGGTTTCGCTTTCCTCCAGCTGTTTGGAGAAGGTGCTTGGGCAGTCAGTCCCACACAATCCCCCGGCAACACTCGTGGCCAGCTCCCTAAAAGCAGCTTCTCTGCCTGTTGGTTTGAATAACAGCTGTGTCAGCAGAGGAGGAAACTCAGATTCATCGCAGACTGCAACTCAAGAAGGTCATGTTAATGGAGTCCTGGGCTCTGTTATTAGCAATATAGTCCCTCGCATCATCATCATTCCTACCTCAGAGACTGACCTATTTCGAGAGGAACTTGAAGAGGAAGAGACTGAATTACTCCACTTTCATGACAAAAAAGGCAATCTGTTGGACTTGGAAGGCCTTAGCTCGTCCACAGAGTTCCTTGAAGCTGTTGAGAAATTTCTATCATAAGTTTGTCAAAACAAAAACTTTCCGGTAATTATTTTCTTGGCATCCGCTCCACTTAATTATACCAAATAACCGAAGCCTTGTGGGTTAGATCATCAGACTTTTTTGTATGTTCATACAGTAGTCACTAGGCAGGCTTCAGATTTATCTTTGTCCAGACCAGCTCGGGCATGGAAACAGGCATTCAGATTGTGCTGCAGGAAATGAGCAGTGGAAGATCTGGCAGCACAATTGAGTGGCATCAGTTGAGTCGGCTGCCTGCTTCGTGAGGCCGATTTGTAACCACAGATGGAGATGCCAGCAGAAGGAAAAATGACTGAGCGACATCAGAGGCAGCTGCTGAATGTTTCTGCTACCTGTGCGTGAAATGGCATTCCTTTTTTGGCAGATTTTCTTCTTGATTGCCACAAGGCCACAGCTTCCCCCAGCTCTGACAGTAACGCGGACGGCTAGATGATACGAACTAACTTTTAATCTAATTATTTTCGGTGTTGGTTTTGGTTTTTCCATGTTTTGTTGTTTGTTTTTGGTTTTTTTTTAAATAGGCAGCTTGCTAAAAGTAAATAGACAAACTGATGGTGTAACTGGGAAGTGACTGCTTGCTTTTAAAGTTTAGTGCTAAAAGTCTGGATTTTACCTCAGCTTTAGTACAATCACCTGAATGTCAAATGCAAGGTGCTGTACGCTAGAACATATATTGCTACCTGTAAAAGCACTTAGAGCACCTTCAGAGCTACAGTCTTGGTTATACATGTATGGACCCTAACGAGTCTGTGATTAAAATCGTGAACTTTCACAGTTGGCTCGACAAGTCTTTGATAAAAATAAAACCTTGGCTGCTGTCTTGCTGTCACTTGTCTCTTCGGAAGAGATTGTTCTCCCCTCCTCCTCTAAAATGACCAAGCAGATGTCTTCTCTTACAGATCACTTACCGGAGGCCTTCGGAGCACGTAAAACATTATCTTGGGGAGAAAACTCCACTGTATTGTGCTGTGGGCTACAGAACCTGCAGTCACATTGTTATCTGTGGTTACTGATTGCGCGTATTTTATCTGTGCCTCGCATTATGGCTCAGGCTCGCAAGACCGTCCTAGAATTTTATTCCTAACTGCATTCTTCCTTTCATTACCCATTTTCCTTTTTTGTAACATGTTCTCCTCCACATCCTCCCTTTCAGTCTCTGACCTTCAAATGTAGACAACCAGTTGAACTATATTGTTCTCCACATAATACCAGTATATCCCAGTAGAAAGCAGGAATTTCTCTGGATATAATAGTTAAAATATGTGGTCCATTGAGTCTAGTCGCATTCAGACATCCAACAAGCATCTGGACGTGAGAGTTTATGTTCATCGTCTTGGTTTATTCTCTTGACTGTATCCTAGATTGTGCAGAGACCACTGAGAGCATTTCCAAGCTTTGTGCATATGCTGGCTGATCTTGAGAAATAATTTCTCTTTTCCTGTTTTCCTGATGCAAAAAACAGATGGAAAGATGGAAAGCATAGAAGTAATTTTTTTTATTAGTTTTTTATTACAAAAGAAAATAACACAATCTTGTTTGCCACAAACTAGACAGGAACACCACTAAAGAACAAGCTAAAACCCAAAGCAGCACAGGAGAGAGAGACGAATGCCTCCAAACTTGCAGACCTGAGGCTTTGCAGGGTGTCAGTGTGGCAGACCTTTGAGAGGACTGAGACACCTGCTTTTGGTATAGGCTATGCTCTTTTTAGGAAAAAAACAACTCTGGTGAATCTGCTGAGACAGGCTGCCTGTTGCAATGCTAACACTCTTAATGCTGCTATTATTTGAGGCACTCTGCAGTCTAGAGAC